TTCATTTAGTCCCATTTGCACATCAATCTAATGTTTGAAACATTAATCTGATGTTCGAAATCTAATGTTCGAAACATTAATTTGATGTTTGAAACATTGTAATGGGACCTTTCAGTCTATAAGAAAACATTTAGGACTAAACAGTGTATAAGTTATTAATTTGGGATTTATTGGTGCATCCCCGTAAAAGAAATGAATTAATATCACTATTTAAATTAATAAAAATTGAATTAAAACATTACAAGTCTCTTTGGTAATGTTTACATTTATAAAATCATAAAAATTGTAAATAAAAATTTGTTTGGTAATCAATTTTTGTTTTCAAAAGCTTGTAAATTATTAAAAAAGTTACTAAATTTTTGTCATTAAGAAAAGTTGATTTCATTTGTTTAAATTTTTTTCATCATTTTCTCATCTTTTGCGACTACCACCCATAACTCATCACCACTTTTGGTTATCACATTGGCCATACCTACTTTTAGCTATTGTCGTCGGTGACTGCTTTCAGCAACCACCTCCAATCGCCTTATCATCAGTAACAACCACCTTTAACCACAATTTTTTACCAACGACAATACCTTTTGTTGAAAATCATCTTTCACTATTATTTTTAACTGTTTGCAACCACTTTGGGCCACTGCCAACCGCTTCTCACCAGCAATAATCACCTTTGATAGAAACCATCTTCGACTCTATCTCTAACTGTTGACAATTACTTTCGGCCTCCATCTTTTTGCTAACTGCCCCTCTCATTTGTTTTCAAGAGAACCTTTTAAAATACATAAATATAAACGTATTCAATCTTTTTTTTTTTTTTTGTGAGAATAAAAAACAATAAACAATTAAATATTACCAAATTGCACCTCTTTCTCCCCCACAATCCTAAATAATTTTTGATAAATTGCATTCACTCCAAATATGAAGTCTTCCCTCATATTTTGAAAATTACAAATCTTTCATTGACAAATTTTTTCTTGAAACTAACCTAACAAAAAAATAAAAATAAATAATAATGATTATAATAAATAATAAATAAAAAATAAAAAAATAAAAACTAAAAGTTAAAATTTCTCAAATGCCCACTGATACCAAATTAAAATTATCATACTACCTCTATTTTCATCCATCCACCAAATCCCTCCCTCTACACCATTATAATATTCTCTAACCTTCGTCAGCGAATGGGTGACACCTAATACTTGTAGACAAAAACGATAATAGTGTTGATCAAGAGTGAGAAAGAGTGGGACGATGATTGGATAAAGTGTTATTAGGGACTTGGGGGTGGCAGCTGTGCTCTTAGCAGAACAGCTATTGCTGTGTAATTAAATAAGTTTATTTTTGGCCTATTTTGATAATTTAAACCGTTTACATTTTAAAATATATTGAGTAGAATATATCTGTAAAAAATCAAGTTAATCGGATATTGTTAACACTTTCATCCACTCATATTTGTATTCATTTTAATATTTTAGATCACAATTGTTATTTATTTTTGTATATATAAATGTGAGTGGATGAAAGGGTTAACGATATTCGATTAATTTGATTTTTTACAAGTGTATTCTATTCGATTTATTCTAAAATGTAAACGTTTCAGATCATCCAAATGAGCCTCGAAATGAGTCCATTTAGCTGTACAATAGTGACTATTGTGTCTCTTGCACAACAGCACCTCCAAATCCTATTTTTAGCAGAGAGAAAATAAAAAATAAGAAAGGTGAGATAAGAAAAAAAATCAGTGTATTTGGTTTGAGTTTTCTGGATTAAGTTTTTTGAAAATTGACTTTTTTTGTTTTCGTATTTTTTTGTTTTTAGTGAATATTTTTAAAATTTTAAACATTTTTTTACTTTTTTAGATGCACCTTACTTAGATGTATCTAAAAAATAAAAAATTTGTGAAAAAATATTTTAAAAATTAATAAATACATAAAAATATAAAAAATGTACTGAATTCTTGTATTTTTGGTATTTAGTGAATTTTTAAAAGTTTTTTTTATAATTTTTTTACTTTTTAGGTGTATTTATGTTAGGTGTGTCTAAAAAGTAAAAAAATTGCTTAAAATATTAAAAAAATTTAATAAAAACAAAAAAAACACGAAAAATAAAAAAGTAGAATTTTCTGACAAGTATTTTTTAAAAAGTGAAAACAAGGAACTTCATAAATGTTAATATAAATATTTTAATTTTTTTTTTTGTTTTTATTACTAACGTCATATGCACTGTGTTAATTTGGCTTAACAATTGATCGATATTTAGTTGAAAACTTCAAAAAAATAAAAGGAAAATGTTTGGTAGCTCAAATTTTGTGGTTCAAATGGCTCAAATCTGTCAAAACGACGTCGTTTTACACTCAAAGAAGAATGTAATGATTATAGGTTGGATGTGATGTTTTGTTTGTTATGGCTAAAATAGCCTATTTTGTTTTTTGTGGCTAAAATAGCCAAAAAAGCCTGAAAAAGCCCTTGCCAAACACAGGCTTACTAACGTCATATGCACTGTGTTAATTTGGCTTAACAATTGATCGATATTTAGTTGAAAACTTCAAAAAAATAAAATATGTTTCAAAGGCGATTATTTATTTATTTTTATATGGGAGATTTATTTAGGTCAAGTTTGGCAACCTAAAAATAATATATCTTTTTATCTTTTTTTCATCATATCACTTCTCTACTTTTCTGCACATCTTTTCGTAAAAAGACAAAAAGTATACTTATTTAGGTCATCACAAACAACCTTTTATAAATCTTATTTAAGTAGATTTAAATAATCCAATAAGTCTATAAAATTTTCTGAAGTGGTATATTTGTAATTTTAGAGGTTGTTTGGCATGTGTTACTTTAACACATCTTTTTATTTTTTTTATTTTATTTGGGTCACATCATTTCATTTCTATCACATTATATATCTTTTCGTAAAAAATTAAAAAATATACTTAAACTTATTTTGATAACTAAAAAATAAGTTAATTTATTGACTAAGGATTCGTTTGGCAAGAAGAGTTTGGGGTTTTTTTTGGCTATTTTAGTCACAAAAGATAAAATAGGCTATTTTAGCCATAAAAAACAAAACATCACATCCAACCCATAATCATTACATGCTTCTCTTACAAAAAAAAGTCAAAAAGCCAAAAAGCCCTTCCCAAACCAAGCTTTTTAGCCCAGGCTAAAATAGCCAAAAAAGCTAAAAAATTAAAAAGCCAACCCACTTCCCAAACGGAGGCTTATTAACTTATTGATGTAAGACAAGATTTTATTATTTTTGATATATTATTTCTTAATTTTATTATTTTGGAACTAAATTTTAACTAGGATTTTAAGTAATTTAAAATTTTAGTTTCCTATTGTCTTAGGTTTCTTCGTTTGTATTGATTTAAGTTTTCTAATTTATTTGAGAATTATTTTTTTTTATAAGTATTAGGTTTAGTTTATTATAAATAAGCCTACAAGCATATGTTTTCTTTTTCTTGTGGATTTAAGGTTCTATTTTTCTCATGGATTCGAGAGTCTCTTTCATCTATTAGAACAATATCTAATCATATACATTATGTTACATCACTTATTTAAATCATATTATTTATTTATTTTTTTATATATATATTTTAAAAAATCTAATAAATTAAAAAAAATCATTGCTCAAAATAAACTCTAATTATGACCTTATTTATCATAATCTAAAAAAATAAAATAGTTATTATTTTATTTAAGTCACATCATCTTATTTAAATTACATCACCTCTTTACTACATCACTTTAAATCTAACCAATACTTAACTCATAATTCATAAAAAAAAATAAAAAAATATACTTATTTAAATTATCTCAAACCGGCCTTCTTTCACACAACCCTTTATTCATAGATATAAAATGGAACCGTCCACATTAGTTTGTCAACAAGCATTTGTCCTGATAGGGATAATAAACCTAGTCACCTGCCATCTGCACCTAGCTCTCTCTGTCTCCCGAGGAGTTATTGGTCGGTCGTCAGATATCTTACCTGGTATTATTGTGACGGGTAAAAGTGGTAAAATATACTAATTTATATATTGAGGAATTAAAAAATATAAAATATATAATAAATTGTAATTGATTTAAGTATGATCACATGACCACTTAAAATCTACTAAAAAGGGATTATTTGAGGTGTCTTAAATAAATATATATATTTTTTTAGACTAAAAAGTTAAAAGAAAAAATATGGATATTTAGATTAATTTTTTGACTTTTTATAGAAAAATGTGTAATAAAAAATTGTAAAAATTGATTTGTAGAGAAAAATTAGGATTGGGAGTTGTGCAATTGTAATTGTTGACTTTTGGTGAATAGAATTAACTTTTTAACTTTTTGAGTAACTTTTTAACTTTTTGACTTTTTTTAAGTATCTCAAACTTGACCTAATTTTAAGTAATATTAAGACCTCGTTTGAAAATAGTTTATTTTATTAATTTTTAATTTTTTTATAAAAATATATAAAAAAATAAAAAAAGTGATATGATAATTTATAATAATTTTTTAATTAAAATTATAATTGGTAAATAAAGTCTAAAAATTTCAAATATTTTACGAGTAATAAAATATTTAATAAAAATATTAATAAAATATTTGACTACATAGTAATTTTCAATAATTTTTTCTCTATTTTCACAATCAAAACCCTAAGTTTTTTTTTTTTAATATTCTCAAAAAAAAATTATTTAAAGAATTGACTCACTTTTTAAACTATTTAAAAAATTAATATTCTTTTTCAAATCACAGTTTGAAAATGGGATTTTGAATTTAAAATTGTATTTTCAACATGTAATTTCATTTTGAAATTGTATGTTGAACATGCAATATATCTTAGTAAAATTTATATCATCATAAATTACATTTTTAAAATACGACTTTAAAAAACAAAATAATTTTTAAATAATTTGAAAAATTTAGTCAATTATCTAAATTGTTTTTTTTTAAAGAATGTTTAAAAAAACTCCCCAAACACACAACCCCCCCCACATCACATGACAACTCGCCACCTGTCCATCCCCCCCACAACTCGGCATCTCTCCAATGACGTCTTGAGATTGGATACTTTCCTTCCTCGTCGTTTACCTCTTCTCCTCTCTCCATCCACATCCACTGCCGCCTCTCCACCTTCACCCACCTCCATTTCCCACCACCATCACCACCACCACCAATGGTGTTTTTGGTGCTGTGCTGCCATTGCCAGACCCAGTATCAATCCACACTTCTCAACTTCAACCACAACAATGGCGTCTCTCACTCCTGGCGTCCTCTCCAAACTCCTCCAAAATCTCGGCAACACTGTCGCCGGAGACCACCGTTCCCCCCTCTTACAGGTCATCGGAATCCTCCCCTCTCTCCTCGATGCCGATCCTTGGAAAACCAACGGTTTCTTCTTGAGAGTCTCCGATTCCATGCACTCTGCCTATGTTTCCATCTCCGATGACGATGTTGATTTGATACTCAGCGACAAGATCCAGCTCGGCCAGTTCATTCACGTGGCTCGGCTCGACTCGGCTTCTCCTGTCCCGGTGCTCCGCGGCGTGAAGCCGCTCCCGAGGCGGCGAGCTTGCGTCGGAGAACCCAAGGATTTGATTTCGAGCGATTCGCTGCCGATTCGGACGAAAGTTGATTTCTCTGAGAAGAAGAAGAAGAAGGGGTCGAAGATCGTGAAGAGAGCGGAGGCGAACACGAAGATTCGGAGGTCGGTGTGTGAAGATTCGAAGCCGAATCGGCTTTCGATCGAGAATGGGGAGTCGAAGAGGTCGAGGTTGGATTCGGTGCGGAGGGGATGGGATCGAATTCCGAGTACTACGAGGAATCCACAACTTGTATCGCGTGTGAAATCGAAAGAAACTACCAATTCTTCTAATTCTCCTTCTGTAAGTCTTCTTGTTTCATACTCATACATGCATCAATTTGTATATACACTAGTGGATGATCCGTGCCTACGGCACTTCAAGTTTAAAAAAAAAAAAAATCACATTCAAGTTAATAAACTTCTGACTAATGAAAAATAAAAATTAAGACAAACTAATGTAGCGCTTCCATATTTTTAAAAATTTGCCACATTGTAGTTATGATCTATTCAATCCATTAATAATTCTTCATATTTAAGGTTAAACTCCTTACATATAGTTCATTATACACATATAGACAATTACAATCATTTTTAATTCTCTTGTCCTTTTACTTGTAATTAAAATATGAAATCAGGATAGATTTACTTCATACATATAGTTCATGAATTAATTTGAAACCAGATTTACTTAATACATATAGTTCATAAATTACTTTGAAACCAAAAAATAAATAATCATGCGTTCTATATGCCTCAAGTGTAGTCCCACTTTAAACTTGGTTCAACATCTCTATATGCATTTTAGACATGATTATTTCTTATTGCCAGTAGCACACCACCATAAATGCATGATGCTTGAAAAAGATCAAAAGATTCATTTGCAAATCCAGTTGATCTTTCAAAGGGAATTACAGTCTCACAAACAAATATCTTTCAAATGGAACCATTTGATCTTTTCACGTTAAATATATTCATTCTATTCATTACATTATATGCATACATATGTGTATGCATTTATAGTATTTAAAGAAGGAATGACAGTAAAAAGAAAAGGCTTTTTACGTTAGATACGCGTTGTTTCCCAGTTGTGCAATCCATGTCACCCACTTGTATATTCCATCACCTAACAGCCTGTAATTCAAGTAATCAAAATGAACAATAGAAGGGGGGGAAAAAAAATTAGAGAAAATTTTAAAGAGAAGTGGAGAGTGGTATTTTAAGAAGAGTCATTTGAGGAAGTAGTGCTTACATACCGGCAAAGAGGAAAGACTAAGTGGGTGCAGTGGTTATTGGGCATGTCAACATCGTTAATTCCTCTGTATCAAACTGATAAACATCAACCCAACTTTGATTTCGGTGACTGATGCTACATGAGAGAGAGAGAGAGAGAACATAGCCATTCAAAAAGCACCCAAATGGTTGTTACTCCATAATTTTTCTGAAATCTTATTGTTACTCCATAATAGCACATTAGGAACTACAAATTAAAAACTGAACTGATATTTGAACTGAACATCCAGTGTCATCGCCTACATGTTAACAAAGAAAATTTTGGAAGAAGAAATGATAAAGTTCACAAATTACAATTTAACGATCAACTTAATGATAAAAACTTAAATTCCACAATTTAGGAAAGAGGGCAAAACTACCAGTTATGCCAAATCCACTTGGGAAAAAATAATAGTTCAAATATGATTCTGTGTTTAAGTAAAAAAAAATGTAATTAGCATAATCATGCTTGTATAAAAAACGTGATCTAATCAAAAACCCACAAATGAAACCAAATCAGTAGTAGAAAATGCTAGAAAAGTTATGATGAAATTCAGTCAATGGTGGCAAGTACTCCAAAACCAAATTTCAGTCATCACCACAACGTCTCACACTTTCAATTCAACTTAAAAAAATAACAATTTTCTATTTTGAATTCCACACAAACTGAATCCAAAACCAAACCAGTATAAAAATTAAAAATTAAAAATTAAAAAGCAAATTGAGATTTAGTTGAGAGAGGGAGGAAGTGAATCAACTATTAACAACTCTATTGAAGCTTTATTCAAAATCACTTAATAACAAAGGTTACATGCAAAAACAAAATTAAAAGTCCCAAATGAGCAATACTCAACAAACAGCCCCATCCACAAAACTTTTTAGTTCAAACTTCCCAATTTCATTTGATTATTTAAGTAAAAATGATAAAATTTACAATGAAATCATGAAACTGTCCTATTTATACTCAAAAGACAGTATATATTCATTTTATTATTACCCAATACTATTAATTTAACTGAATTGAATCAATCTGACAAAGATATGAGCTATTGCACTTTGTTTTCTTATGCATTTTGTTAATTTCTTTAGACCAAGAATCAAACCATCTAATTCAAGCAATCAATCAAAACCACACACATATGCAGATGCCAAACTAATAATATAAAATTTAAGCTAAAGATGCACTGTTTTATGTCAATATCAATAACCTACCAATTAATAATACCAAGAACAAATAAAGATTAAATTCCACAATGAACATAGTTAAATCATTACACTATGAAAAAAATAGAATTTGGAAATCAAATTGAAAGCAGGCTAACAAATAGAAGGCTTCTCTGTTAAACCAACTAATAATAATGAAATTCTAAACAACCAATTAGAGGATTCTATGTAAATAAGAATACTTTTGTTAATGAGATTAATCAAAAAATTGAACTGGATGATATTACAAATCCAAATAATTAAGTTATGAAATTCAAAACCAATTAACTGGAATTTTTTTTTTTCAAATATTAATCATTAACACAATTTTTATAAGTAAATAAAAACTTGAAATTAAGTCATGAATTTGAATTTGAATAAAAACTTGAAATTAATTATTAATCATGAATTTGAAATCTTAGTAAATAAAAACTCCAACTTAACTTCTATAAGTATAAAACAAATTAAGTCATGAATTTACCTTTATATCTATAACTCATTCCTTAACTTGAAATTGCTTCCATTGGTAAAGTTTCGAATTCCATGGAAATTGAATACATTTGTACCAATTAAAAAAATCAAAATTGTATTTAGATATAACTAAGATAGGGGGTGTGAGTGAGTGGAAATCATTCCATTATGAATCTTCAGCCTAAAACAAAATCCAAACACACGTGGGCTCAACTGATGGTGTATGATGAGATTACAAATGTACATTAAATATTTTTTTGGGGGGGGGGAAATGAAGGTGAGAAAGGTTCAAATGAAAACCTTTTTGTACAATAATGCAATAACAACATGCTAAAAATCCCAAAATCCTGTACTAATATACCAATAAAAGCACGAAATAACAACCCATTCACATGAAAAATATATCTAAAAATCTAAGTTTGGGTGCTCACCACGAAAAAGTTATTGAACCCATTAAATATAAATTTTGAGAGAGAGAGAGAGAGAGAGAGAGTCACCACAAATCAACTATGTAGAGCATGTGTTGGTCTTCAAAATCAAAGAATCATGGAAAATTATTGAAATCAACTTCCAAACTGCCCATAATAGCTATCGCCATTGGTGGATAAAAGAAAATAATTAATTATCCAGAAAAATGAAAACTAATATAATAGCTCATAACTCTATATAAGCAAAGGAAACCAAACCAAAGCCAATGAATTTTAAATGAAAACAAAGCAATACCACAACAAATTATAAAATAGAAACCCCAATGGATTTTAATTGTCTTGAAAAAGTAGACTTTCATTTGGGTTTAAAGTTCTATGTATGGTGGCGAGGATCATCACTTATATTTGAACGAACTTGCATGTGCTCAAATCATTAGAATGTTATTATTACAACCAGAAATTGGAAGTTATACCTTACCTTTTGAAGAATTTATGGATAGGCGCAGAAAGATATTTGAATTGTTTTCTAAGGGATGACCAACAAAAGGAAACATTAAAACGTTTTAGTAAGAATGCAAATCAGATACTTACCAGAATGTTCATATGCGAAAGGTTGTTAAGAAGTTTCACTTCTTCCTCAAGCTCTCTAATGTGAACCTATTGAGCAAATTTAAAGAAATGATTCAGATATATAGAAACACAAACACAATGCTTCATATACAAATTACCATAAATGTAAATAAAGCAATTAAATTGGAAGTGATTTTCAACTTTGAAGCACTCTTACTGCAACTGAAACATTCTTAGATATATACCAATACCAAAAACAATTGAAAAAAGTAACAATAAATAAATAAATATATCCAAAAGAATCACCATAAACAAAATATATCTTTTAGAAATGAAGGAGTACCAAATCCAAAATCAGGAAGAGCACTTCTCAAAATAATAATAATAATAAAAAAAAAAGTATTAAGAACATTATCCAAAAACAAAACCACTGCTTACATCCGTTGTGCACCACAACTCATCATCATTCTGCAAATCACTACTAAATAATGTTCTAGATAAAGCTTAAGTAAATACAAAAGTATTCAATAAATACCAAAAATATTTTGTCTAATTATGAATAAAAAATATGACCATCTATATTATTTTCGGCTTAATGTTAACAGTCAGGTTAATCGTAATGTTCACATTAACCCATTTAATGTTAACAATCTTCAACTCATTTGACTAACATGAAATAAAAATAGGTATTAACATGAAACCAATTTCTTCCTTTAACCCCCAATTTGATTTGCAAGAGAGCGAGAGTTTTGTTGGTGATGGTGGGGATGATGGGATGACAAAAAACAGAGTATCCAAATTTGTAGGGAAGGGAAAAGATAAGTTTATTACTGATTCTATTCACAGATAAATTCAGCACTGACAATTGGAAAAGAAATTTTAAATCACAATAAGGAAAAGGAAAAGAAATTTGTACAAAAAATTAATTTGTCCAATAGACTTGTAACATTAAATAATTAAATCATACTTGAAAAATTATTGAATATTCTTCGAATGCCATAAAAGTATATACATATGGTACTTCTGATCAATGAGATTGAAAAAATAAAAAATGAATGAGAATGACTTTATCTTTATCAAATTGACCAAAGTAGGTCAAGTCAATTTTGACAATTGCTTTTCTTGTACAAAAAGCCTAAGTTCAGGTTTGATTTGTTTTTGTATAATTTATTTTTTTTAATTCTGACCCATAATTTATTTGTTTAAGGTTTCAATCTTGTACTTTGAATTTTTTTTTTTTTTTTAAATGCATTCTCTTGGCTAAATGTTGATTTCTCATATTTTAGGAGAAATTAATAATGTCCACTCTTAAAAGGATGCACATCATATTAATAAAGTTTGTTTATTTATCCAAAAAAAAAAAAAAAAGAGGATGCACATCATAAGGCACCGTTTGGGAAGAACTAAGCTAGGTTTTTTTGGCTATTTTAGCCACAAAAGACAAAATAGGCTATTTTAGCCACAAAAAACAAAATATCACATCCAACCCATAATCATTACACTCTTCTCTCACAAAAAAAGTTAAAAAAGCCAAAAAGTCATTCCCAAACCAATTTTTAGCCCAGGCTAAAATAGCCAAAAAAGCCAAAAAGCTAACCCACTTCCCAAACCAACCCTAAGATAGTTATGAATTTTTATGATGAAAATTACCAATGTGTGTGGTGTGTGTTAAAGTCAATTTGTGTGTGTAAATTCCATTGAAACATTTTATCAAACACTTAATAAGTAAGGAAGATAGAATGGTTATCGAACATTTTAGTAACAACCAAACGATAGTAATGGCACAACAACCATTCAATAGAGTAACTCAATACAACAATCCCACTAATTCCTACTAAATCAAAGTAAATGGGTTTCGTGGAACCCAACCAACTCTTTATATATATGTGTATATATACATAGATAATATATATGTATAAGAAAAAACACAAAATCCATAAAAGTATACACAAAATCTTACATGCATATAGAAAATTAAAGAAAAACAATACTCACAGTTTGATTTTGGGAATCGTTCTTTCTCTATTCCACTAATGATCAATTGATGGTCTCTATGGCTTCAAAGAAAAAAAATCTGTAATCAATATATATACACACAATAATCTATTAAGAAAGAGATGAGAGTATTACCTTTATTTTGCAGAACAGAACACCCAACAAACCCATAATTTATTCGTTTAAGGTTTCAATCTTGTTCTTTGAATATATATATTTTTTTAATGCATTCTCTTGGCTAAATATTGATTTATCATGTATTGATTTCTCATATATTAGGGAAAATTAATAATGTCCACTCCTAAAAAGATGCACATCATATTAGTATAGTTTGTTTATTTGTCAAAAAAGAAAAGAAAAAAAGGATGCACATCATAAAATAGTTATGAATTTTTATGATGAAAATTATCAATGTGTGTAGTGTGTGTTAAAGTCAATTTGTGTGTGTGTAAATTCCATTGAAACATTTTATCAAACACTTAATAAGCAAGGAAGATAGAATGGTTATCAAACATTTTTGTAACAACCAAACAATAGTAATGGCACAACAACCATTCAATAGTGTAACTCAATACAATAGTCCCACTAATTCCTACTAAATCAAAGTAAATGGGTTTCGTGGAACCCAACCAACTCTTCATATATATATATATGTGTGTATATATACATAGATAATATATATAAATAAGAAAAATCAACAAAACCCATAATAGTATACCCAAAATCCTACATGCATCTAGAAAATTAAAGAAAAACAATACTCACAGTTTGATTCCACTAATGATCAATTGATGATCTCTGTGGCTTCAAAAAAAAAAAAAAAAAAAAAAAAAATCTGTAATCAATATATATACAATCAATAATCTATTAAGAAAGAGATGAGAGTATTACTTTTACTTTGAAAAATTACTTAAGAAAGAGATGAGAGAATTACCTTTGCAGAACAGAGCACCCAACAAACCCACCATTAGTAGCCGATCTGCTAATGAGATTGAGGCCGTGACTGTTGCCAGTGAGATTGAAGATGAAAAGTGAGCTCTACGAGTGAGAGATGAAGGAGACAACTCAATTTTGAATTTTGAATTTTGAATGAGGGAGAGAGAGAGAGAGAGCTGAAGAGAGAGAGAGAGAGAGCTGAAGAGAAAGGGATGTAAGGGAAGAAGAAATATAAGGAGAAATGTATATCACCGTAGGATGTATGTCAACAAACAATCTCAACCATTGAAAGATAATTTGTCTCTTGGACATTTTTGAGCTGTTGGATTGAATTAATCTAAGGGTTCACATTTTGACAAAGGGACAAAAGTCCCATCAAAATTCAAAAACTACCCTTGTTATATAGATATTTTTCTTTTGTATTTTTTGAGGATGTGTTTGGCTATTTCTGTTTTGTGTTTATATGGGATGAAGTTGGGTTGCACTCTATATATCCAATTTATTGACATAACTCTTCTCTGTGTATATAATCAATAATATTTTTATTTTTTGTTTGATGCTAATAATGACATTGACAAAAATATATATATGCTTCTCTGCTTTAAAATGTATGTTTTGGAGGAAACTTTGATTGTTTAAATGGTCCAGCCTCTGTTTCACAATGAGATTTTTACATTACATTGTTTGTCAATAAGAATCAAGCACTGCTGCTGTATGATATACTAAACAAGTATATGGAGCTTTCGGGTATGCGACCAACTGTTTATACTTCTTTCTTCTGGTGGTTTTTTATTGACAGGGTAACTTTTATGTGAATTTGATAAAATTTTCATTTAAAGATTCATCAAATGATCTTGATCAAGGGGTAGTTTTGTTATTTCACTTGAATTTTTCGTGGCAATAGGGCTGCTTTGTTATCTTCTATTTATTTATTTTTTCAAGTACTTATGGATACAGAACCCTAAAAATAAGTAATAACTTTACATGAAGGTAGGTTAAGTTAAGATTCCGCTCACAAGTATGAGTATAAGCCTGCCTGACTATGAGATTGACTTGAACTCGGCATACTAACTTTACTTACATGCGTGAGGTCTCTGTTTCAAGTCCAGAATGGCCCAGCTGCGTTGGATAAAAAGAATAGAAAAAGCATTTGACTCCTTCAGTCATGTTCCACTTGGTTGGACCTTTTTTACAGTAATAGGAAGAATAAACACTATGTAAAGAAAGAGAAATCCTCTTTTTAACTGGCATAGACCCTATTCCTAGTGCATTTTGATGGGCATAATAAAGCCATCTAGGATTGGCAACCTTTGGTTTGGCATAGGGATGGTTGACGCTCTATAGGACAATTGTATAGCTGATTGTTACAAATGCCTAGTACACATGCTCCTCATTTGTATGCATTTTCTGCGATGATTGAAATTGACAACTTAATTTTGTGTTCCATATCAATCATTTTCAGGATGTCCAGTCCAGTAGGAAGGCTTCTTCTGAAAAAGATTCAGCCATGACGTGTCTCAATTTGAGCATTTCACCACTTAAAAACAAAAATCAGAACATTTCACAGAAGTCAATAAGCAAACTTGTAGAAAAAGATTTGAAATCATCATCTAATGGTCCTATACCAAGCCATCTCACTAAGGTGCCCCTCAGTTTCAGAACTTGGTCAGATCAGAAGAAAGATTTCGTGGGATTTGCTTCCGCATAGTATTCATGATATCGGGAAGGTATGCAATTAGATACATATCTAAATCTTGGTAGTATGCAGCATATTCATATAACCGATGATATGTTTAGGAAGCTATGGGTCATAGGAATCTTGCATTTTTGGCTGCTGTGCATGCACTGGAAGAAGCATCAGCTGCAGAGTGTGTCGTCCGATGCATGAGGTACACAATTTGTACATGCACAAGTTTTCTTGTCTTTAGTTTTGTCATCTTATTTTGATTATTATGCATAGCATAAAATTGTGAATGTGAAGTTTGGATATTTTACTGACACAGTTTGGTTTTATGCTATGCAGCAGTAGTAGGTTATATAGTTGGTTAAGTTGTATCTCATCTTGTCTTCTGTCAATATGCTATCCGGTATTTTGATCACTCATTGTTGATGACTAAAGAATAATTTTTCATTAGGAGTATGCTAATGAATGGGATGGTACCCAATAATAAATATAAAAAAAATAATTATATGCCAAAACTTTGTGGATATCATGACACATTAACAATCATAGAGTTCAAGAAATGTTATGAGATCATGTACATTAGCAGGCTCAGTAATGTTAATTTATGTGCACTGCAATTCAGGGATGTGACTTACTCTTCTGCATAACAAGTGTTGCATGATATGGTCTCAACTCAAGAGAGCCTTGAATCAATTAGCTACATGCACTATTTTATTCATTTAGCTATGTCTATGGCCATATCATTTAGTTGATCATATCTTTTGTCACCATCTTTACTTCCATTTCATCAATTTTCTAATCCTTGTAGACTTCTACTTGCAATCATTCACTCAGCTGTACCATTTGCATTTGTTGGTCTTCTTTCCACTTTGGCGAAACATCATAAATATCTTATATTCGTTTTCTCTTTCCTCTCATGTTTTCACCCTCGTTTTCTCAAGAAGTCTAGATTATACTCTTTCCTTTTTTTTTTTATCCTTTTCTTAGTTTAAAAGGTTGTTCTCTTTGAAATCTAAGTAGTATGGACACGTGACACAACACAGACATGTTGACATGTAAGTTTTCAAAATTTATAGTACACGACCCATACATGACACATGCAAAATATTTTATATTTTTATTAAATGTCATGTATAAGGATAAATAATTAATATTTCATATATATGAATATTTATGTCAAAGATGATAATTTTGTAGCCTAAAGGAGGAGAATATGTATAAATTTACATTGTTGTTGTTTTAAAATTGGATTTCAAGTTATTTCATTCAAACTTATAATGTGTTTTATGTGTGTTGAAGTGTCGGGAAGTGTGCGATGAGTGTCGTGTTGGTGTCTGACACATTGTCGGACACGACACGTTACCTTCGTAGAAATGTCCATACTTCTTAGTTTGAAACCAATGCAAATGAGAATGAAAATTTTCTTTTTACTAGCAGTTTATTTTCTGTATCCAGCATGTTTGAAGAACTGTGCCAGTCTTCTCAGAAAGGTTCTGCAGGTCAACTAGTAGAGCAATTTTTAAACCTTCACAAGGGTATGAAGAAAGCAGCAGCCATTGTCAATACCTTACTCGGCACAAGTTTTCAGGAACCAAAAACCAGTGCTTACTCAAAGCGCCCACTCCCAGAAATCTGTGAAAATTTCCCCAATAAGAATGCCGCGTCGTGGGTTCTAGCTGCTGTGGAGACTGATCTTTCTAACTTCTGTTTGTTCAGAAAGGAAGACGAGAGTGAAAATTCAAAAGATGAGAAATCTCATTTTGTTGTCTTGGACAACAAGTCTAAAAAAGCTCAAGACAAGAACCATTCACCTCAAAATAAGCGCAGCCCTGGTAATCATGGAAGCTCCTTATCAGAGTCACGCGCAAAAGCGACACCACCTACACGGAAGCGTCTCTCGACCATGAAAAAAGCAGAAACGGAAAAGGAGTGGTCTAAAGGGAGTGGGTTGAACGAGGCAGCTAGTTTAGCAGAAAAACTGCTTTTAGTATCTCGAACATGGTTCTTGGACTATTTAGAGGATTCCTTAAACAAGGGATTTGGATTGAAGATCGGGGAAGCGGACTCTGAAATTGCAAGTCTCCTTAGGCAGCTTAAAAGGGTTAATCAATGGTTGGATGACTCGGTTACAGATGGAATTGGGACCGATGGGAGAATAGAAGGCTTACGGAAGAAGTTATATGGATTCCTATTGGAGCATGTTGATTCTGCTTTTGTTGCAACTAGTTAGTTAAGGTACAGACTGACCTTCATTGGGATATAGTTAATAAATTACTGACCAAGTTCAAATTGAGATATGATTGCTATACAGTTAGAAGAGCTTAGAATAGCGCAAAAGCTTCTGAAACTTTCTGATTTTGTTTTTTCCAACTGTATTTGTAACTTCCACTGATTAAGAAAAAAAAAATCAGTCACAGAAGACTTTGTTGTAAAACCTTACATTATTCAAGTGTATAGAGGAACTCAGAAGTTCATTCGGTTCCTTTGATGACTCTTCTTAGCTGCTTTTTTCCTTAGTGTTTTGCTTGTTGCATTCAGCTTGTAGCTGGATGAGAAGTTTTTGCAGTATTTGGGATCAGTTGAGAATGTTAGACTAAAGAAATGGTTTTCAAAGTTATCTTTTCTTAAATTATTTTTGAAAAAGGTTAATTCTCTCTTTTTTAGTACCATATCTACATATATATATATATATATATATATGCGTGGCCACATTTTATTTTTTTTAATTTTTTTGAAGAGGCAACAGAACTTCATAACAAGAGATCAAGAAAGGAATAAACTTAAAATTTTTGTATTTCCATAGATGACCAACTCCATATGCTCCCTATCTCCCACTTCACATTGAGAAAATATTGGAAAGACGGTTGAAAAAAGAACAAAGAGGGTTAATTCTATATCTTTTTCTTTTTTCACAAAATATCTCAGAAAATAAACTGTTTGTACTCATAAAAATTTACTAGCTTCCATGAGCCAAGTAATAGCCAGAAACTGATTCTTCATAGGAACAATCCATTGATTTCCTTGGCTCGAAAGCAGAAGCAGCAGAACCGGTACCCTTCGCCAAGGATTTCATACCTCTACACGACTTCATGTGCGCGTGCATTTTCTCTGGCTTGAACATCTTCCCGCACTGCCTGCACCCATATAATATGCATGTTTTGGTCACTCCTTGGCTTTAGAAAACTCAAAATAATGAGATCATAGAGAAGACATAATACCAGGTTGATGGTTGATTAAGCATAAAATCACACTTTCCACCTCGAATTTAAGTGCCCAAATCAGACATAAAACTATAGTTGATTGTCCTGAAGTACTATTGTCAATAGGGTCTGCATTTGTCTAGTCTTTTGCATTTTGTACAGAGACATGAAACGAACTATGCCAATTTGTGTCACTAGTCTTGGAAGTGAACAATTTCAATAAGAGGGGCAAGCAAACCATAGAAGAGTCATGGATCAATGGAGCTTATAATTCCAATTTTGAATTATCAGTAAAGTTACAGAGACAAAAAGTTTACAAAAAAGTGAATTGTGTGACTTGAATTTATACTAGATTAAGGATCTTTTGTTCTCTTATCTCAAATACACTTTCTATTTTATGAGTTATCTCACTGAGTCTGAACTTATAATAGATAGGGGAATTGAGATGAGGAGATAAAGAGAGAGTGAGACAAATGATCTCCTTTCATATTTAGTTTAGTATTATTGTTAAATCATATTGATTGACACAATTAATAATTGTAGCAATGAAGACAAGTAAAATGTGTAATTGTATACTGAGGAGAGCCAAATGATAAGGCAAGTGAGTCCAATTCTTGAGCCGAATGTAGGGTGACTAAGTACCTTCAATGCTAATAATGCTCTCAAGCTTACATCATTGTCAACAAATCAAATGCCAGCTTTAGAACAAGTAAAACTTTTGCTTTGCTCAGGGTTTGAACTACTAGTAGTAAAATATAAACACCAAATAGCAGGTTTTATATGCTTTAGATTCATGTTGATTTGTAAATTGTAATGAATCTTTAACCTAAAGATTCTCTGTGCCCAATTTGTACCATTTGGATTGACCATAGTCCCCTAGAGTTCAGCCTGCTAAGCCTATAGAAATATAAAATTGGGTGTTAGTTATGAGAAAAAATAAATATAAAATTGACATTTACTCACGCGAAAAATTGATATGATCTTGATTTAAATCATATCAGGCAAAAAATATTAAATAATTCATATGGTAAAAAAATCAAATTTTTACGAGTTATTTAAGCTTAGCATCCAAGTTGGAGCCCTGGCATTCACTTCCCCTATGTCCCACCCTATATGACAAAAAAAAAATAAATAAATAAAAAAAGAAAAGAAAAACCTATATTTAGGTATACCATTTGATATAGCACTTGATATGACACTAATTTCATTGTTTGATAAATTTCATATTTTATCTAAAAAATATTTATGTTAATACTTTATGAAACCCCTCACATTAAAAATGATCAATACCATTTTAATGCCTTATCAAATGGTTACTTAGTGACAGAGTCATTAAGAGACCAATAGTTACATGTGTTCCTCCTCAACTTTAAAAAAAATATTTTATAGTCTAAAATTCTGAAAATATTTTCAATTTTTTTTCTATTTTCTCCCTCTAAAATTATGTATATGCCATTCAAATTTTTCTCATTTTTTTTTTTTAATAACAAACTTGAAACATCATTAACTAAAGATGGACATATAACTGCCTATTTAGTTTTCAAATAAATCTTTAAAAATATTTTCTTTTACTCTCTGTTGTTTGGCATTTTTTTCATTTTTAATTTCATTTCATATTTCTTGAGAATTCTATAGATTTAAATGTTAAGATAATTCTATTATAGTGATATGTACAATATTAAAATAGTTTTAAAGTCTAGATAGTTAATTTTTTACCAAACCAAACTTTGAATTCCAAACCAACCTAACCCTATAATTTCCCTAAATATTAGCCCCCTCATTCAAAATAGTGGCTTAGCCACTTATAGTATCCATGTGTGGTACCCAACTCTTGGTCACCCCAACATTACTCTTTCATCATTTATATATATACACACACATGTAATGTACATATTTTCTAACCATAATAACTTTGATGTCTTAGGTATATATTTTTATATGTAAAATTATAAACTTATTCAATTAATTAAGTTAATCTCAACAAATTTAGTGATCATGTTCCTTCGAAAGCCTTAATTGATATTATCAATTGGATCAAATTGAGAAAAAAAATTAAAATTAAAAATCAAAATCAAACTAATTGAAATACAAGGACAAAAATGACACAAGGGCTAAAATAAAAGTTTGTCTAATTTACAGCAAAGAAAAACCAAATTGGATATTAGTTAGATAAACTTACGAGCAATTAGGCCCATTGATTGGCTTGTAAGCAGCAGGAATTGACTTTTGCTGATTATTGAATTGGCTCTTATTACGGTTTGAACTCTTTACTCCATCAAAGCTTTTCCTGATATCAATCAAGTTTATATACTAACAATCAACCAAACATAGCATGCAAAGAGAGTTCTAATCTTACATAACCAAGACTAATGTGACAAACCCAAAAGGTTAGTGTTTCAAAAAAATTGTAGGTCAGTTTAAATTTCATGAAACGCTTATCTCTTTAATTGAATTCATGATTTTTAGCACGTAATTACCTAGTATGGGTGGACTGGTAGAGTATATGCATCTAGAAGACTAGTTGAGGCAAAATGTCAGATATCCTAATTATAAAAAAAAAGGAAAGTAAGGTCTCGTTTGGGAACCCTCTCGTTTAGTCAAAAAGTCAAAAAATTATTAAAAAAGTCAAAAATCAACAACTCATACCAAAAAGTCAAGATTCTCTTTTCTCTCTACTTTTTGCACATCTTTTCGTAAAAAGTCAAAAGTCATCCCAAACATACTAATTTTTTTTAGCTCATATTTTAGCCAAATAGCCAAAAAATTACTGAATTAGCCTGTTCCCAAACGAGGCCTAAGTTACGAATATGAATCTTATATAGAAAAACCCATCAAAATGATGTAGCAATAGCCGAGAACATGTTTGAAATAATAAGCCATTTTGATAAAAAAAAAAAAAATTTATTATTTGATTTGAAATTAATGGAAACAAATTCTGCAAATTATTTTTGTATAGATTCTAGGTACATATATTTTTGTATGTATATCATTATGGAAACAAATTCTGCAAATTATTTTTGTATAGATTCTAGGTACATATATTTTTGTATGTATATCATTATTAAAAAAATCTGACAATAATATTTTTGCACCCAACAATACTACATACTTAGAAAACTATTTATAATTTATGAATAAGATTAATTTAAGGTCACTCCGCAATAAGTTTAAATGTAAACTTAAAATTTTAAAATTTTGTGAAATTTTTTCCATGTTCCCTTTGTACTTTCTTTTATGTTACAAAATGTGTATAATTTATTTTATTTTATTTTTTTGGTATCATGCGCATGCATGTCTCCCTAAAAAGAATACCAAAAAGTTAAAAAAAGAAAAAAATAAATAAAATGAAAATGGCAGAATAAATGAGTAATAAGCATATGATATGATCAATGAATTTGAAATTACCTAGCATTGGGATGTGGCTGTTGTTGTTTAATCCAAGGAGTCCCAAAAACCCTCTCAGACCCTCCCAACTTGTCTTCTTTGCAAATCTCTGCAGTATTATTATCAGTACTAATACTACTATTCTCATGCATCTTACTTATGGGTTCATAGCAAGAAGAGCTCTTCTTATCTCTCCTGTTGATCATCACCAAAGCCGAATCATTCGTGTCCACTGCACCACATGTGATGAAGCTTCGAAACATGTTAGTCGCTCCACCAGAGTAGCTCTTACTCTTAGAGAATGATGACGATGATGTTGATGTTGATGTTGATGAAGCCGGTGTACTAGGGTTCACAACCTTCTCGTTCTTATTCTTATTGTTCTTGTTCTTGTTCTTGTTCTTGTTCTTGTTCTGATCGTTCTTTTTATTCAAGAGAATCGAATAAAGAGGAGAGGAATTTTCAAACTTGTCTAGATTTCTTGTTTCTTGTTTGCTAGAATCTGAATGCTTCTCTTCTTCGAGCTTTAGTGAATCATCGGTCAACGTGGAGGTCTCGGACCCAAATGGAGGCGATTCTTCTTCTATTTCTGAGGATGTTGTTTTTGTGGACACATCAATTGTTGTTGTTTGTTGTGGGTGTTGTTGTTGATGTTCATTTTGTTGTTTGGATGTGGATTTGGTGTCTCTTGCATCGGTTTTGTAGGTTGAAGAATGCACTTTTTGGATGGAATCTTTCTTCTCTCCATGTGATCGAAGAAGATCTGTTGTGTAAAAGAATTGAAGTTGAGATCTGTATTTTTGGAAATAAAGTTTTGAAAATGGAAAATAATTACTTTTTGATACTACTGTCCTTTTATTAAATATGGATTGGCTTAAAGCAAGAAGTCAAGGTAAGATGATTTAGTTCTTAAATCTTTTTTTTGCATCCTTCTAATGTATTTTTAGTCACATGGTATAATAGAAATTTCAAAATGTAAAAATCTCGAGATACAAATAATTGTACAGTCTGAAAATATATCTAGAGAAAAAGCGAAAGGAATGTAAAAAAAAAATTTCAATTGGTCAGGTTTCTAAGAAGCTGGTGCACCACTTTAATAAAATAAAAGAGAACATCACCATTTTATGAGAAGTTCTATTTACAAATAGTAAATTTTTCATTACCCACAATATATTTGTATATTACGCAAAAAGTTGTATAAATGACATTCTTATTTTGGATAAATTAAATATTCCTATTTTATCTCTAATGTCGAGATGGAATGGTAAGTGTGCCCTTACTATTAGGCGTACATATGGAAACATTTACTAGATAATTTCTTCGAAATTGAAAGCGGAAAATCCTATCAAAATGGGTAATTGACCAGAAAAAATAAAAATAAAAATTAATAGACACAATCATTACCAAGATTGGAAGAGGGAATTTCGGATCCTTTGAGGACATATTCATTGTCCGAGATTGGAGTTATGAGATCCTCATCCAGTAAGTCTTGCCATAGATAACCTGTCTTGTACTTCCTACACCCAAAAATTTCCATATCAATGCTTCACATATATATGCACATATTTATACTTATATGGCAATTCATATTAAAATTTACATATTTATGTAGAGAATAATAAACCTCCATATGAAATGAATGATTTTGAAAACATAAACAAAATTTGAAAGGTAATATATTTGCTAACCTCTTGTAAGACCAAGCAAATGATTCAGGCATGTCCTTTCCTCGCAATTCCGAAAGCCATCTCTTAACATCTTTTTTTAAGAAGTACAAACCAAAATCCATTAGCATACATGTTTTTGTTTCCAATTCTCAAAAATTTTGAAAACAAAAACACAGAACAAGAAACAGAAACAGAAACGTTACCATGCATAAGTTCATATATATAGACAATATGGTAAAGCAAGAAAGCAATTTTATATCTTTATTCTGTGATTCATTTTTGTATTCTTAGACTTATTTACATACCTCGCAAACGAACACCATTTCGGGAGAGATGGCGGACTCGGATGAGATGGGGATGCTCAATCCGACCTCGACGACTGAGAAAATAAATGATGTGAATTCTTCTTACTTCACCTCCACCACCACCACCACTACCGGCTTGAGCAGCTTCCATTCTTCTACTTAACATAAAATGCCACGCACCACCAACAACTAAGAAACATCAGTACAGTTTCTCTTCTTTTTAGACAAATCCCAAATAAATTAAAATTTTAAAAACAAACAATTAAAAAAGAACATTAAAAACAAGAGAAATATTTGTCTATGCCGGCCTGCTCTAGGAAAAGCCAAAATCTATTAAAAAATAAAAACACTTTTGCAGGCCTAACATACATATAGAATATACACACACATAAAATATGTGAAGAAATGATAAAAGTTTGTATGAAAAGAGTATAATTGGATTTCGAGATAAGCTAAATACTTACTTTCTAGCAGAGAGAGAGAGAGAGAGAGAATGGTACTTCAAAAGGAGAATTGAAGAGTAGATTTGTAGATAAGCTAATAGGGGAAACTTGGCAGCCCAAGATTTTTTTACTGATTTCCCGCGATATGCTTAACTACATTGTTATGCACTTAGGAAACTTTTGACCATGTCCTTTTATTCTTAATTCCAAGAGATGATCCATCCGGGTCGGGTTACCCGGTTTTACAATAGCTCAAACAGTACGGTTCGATTTGATTCTGCAACTCCGGATGGGTTTGGTTGGACTGAGCAAACTCCAGCATGAGCCCAAGTCCAAGTTTATCTAAAAGAATTTGGATTGGGCCTAAGTCGCCTAAATTTAATACCAAAACAAAATTTACAGGTCGGTTCTATTAACTAAATTTATTTATTTATAAATTTTACTCATTTTCTCACTAATCAATATCATTCAAAAAGTATTGGAATAAAATAAGTATTTTAAAACTTATTAAGTAGATTAAAAAAGCATACAAGACCCATAGATATTTAAGTCAATCACATCAGATTGATCCATAATTTACTCCAAAAAAAAAAGGGAGAAGTTACTGCCAGTCTTATGGATGTCAAAAAAAAAAGAAAAAAGAAAAAAAAGAATAAAAAAAAAAAAAAAAAAAAAAGAAAAAGAAGAAGATAAATTTATTACTTTAGAAAGTATAATTCAACACTAATTATACTTTTCATATCATATTTCAATACAAACTAACAAAAATAAATCAAAACTCACAAATAAAATCTAAAATGTCTCAATTATTTATTATTTTTATAAATTTCTTAGTATGATTATCAATACCAAATGATCATTCCACAAGCACAGAACATACATCTAAAACCTCTCAATTTTTTTTATTATAAAAATAACAGAAAAATAGGTAGAAAAATTCACTCAAAACTTATGAGTAAAAATACATGCAGTCCATAGGATTTGTTGATAATTATCCAAAAAAATTATCTCCAGTTGTCTAAAACTGTAAAAATTGGTGTATAAAGAGAATTGTATAGAGAATTGATGTATTATTGATTGTTGTGTTCAATATGTTTACAATGATTCTTATATATAGAAGAGTAGAATAGGTAGGTGTGTAGTAGGTGGAGTAGGTGGTAGTAGATAGGTAGGTAGGTGGTAGTAGGTAGGTAGATTTTAACAGCCCCCGCCATGGTTTTAAAAATCAGACCGGACCGGCCGGTTCAACCGGTGGCCGGATGGGGTTCCGGTCCGATCAGCCCCCTTAAACCGGCCAATTGTAAAAACCGGCCTATTTATTGAAAACCGGTGAACCGGTCGACCCGGTCACGGGTTGATCGAACCGGGCCGGTTTCAATTTTTTTTTATTTTTTATTTTCTTTATTTTCTTTCTTTCTTTCTTATTTTATATATATATATATATATAAAATGTTTGGTTTGGAGGTGGATTAAGTAAGAATTTCACTGAAGGAGCGTTTGGATGAGAGTTAATGAATTTTCCATTAAGAGTTTGATGAAATTATTGTGAAAGTCTTCACCTATTTATAAGAAAAAAACTCTTTCAAAAAAACTCAAGAAATCCATGTGGGATTCAATCAAATGTATTGGAGGGAATATTGAAATTTTGATATCCCTCCAAAATTTTTGCTTTCCTTTCAATCAAATTATTTGAATTAAAATCATATGGAGGGAATATTAAATATTTGATTTCATCTTCCAAAATTGAAATTAATAATATTTTAAAATATATTATTATATTTTTCAGTAAAAAAAATATTAGGACAAATATTTAAGATAATTTAATATTTTTAATATTTTTAATATTTTTAATTTATAATTTTATTACTTATATTTTTATTTAAATATAATTTTAATATATTTATTACGTCACGGTTCGATTCCGGTTCAACCCACCGGTTGAACCGGTGACCCGTCCATCCGATGCCTTTTCCGGTTCGTTCACCGGTCCGGTTTTTAAAACATTGCCCCCCGCAAACTCAAGGGGGATAGGAACTAACTAACATGAGTTTGGAGAGAGTAACAAAACAAGAAAATAGACTAATACATAAAATAAAAGTGGATAGGAGACACTTTATGGTCGTGTCAGACCGTTGGTGAAGATAATGTCTGGACAGTTGACGAGGTCACACCGAACCGATGGAGAAGCTAACCGGAATCAAGGTCGGGACAGTTTATGGGGTCATGTCGGACCGTTGTAAAAGCTAACCGGAATCAATGTCGGGACAGTTTTATGTGGTCATGCCGGACCGTTGTAAAAGCTAACCGGAATCAATGTCGGGACAGTTTTATGTGGTCATGTCGGACCGTTGTAAAAGTCGCACCCTCAAAAGGTGTGCCCAATTTTTCAAAAGGCGTGCCATCAAAAGGCGTGCCCAATCCATAAAAAGGTGTGCCGGACATTATAGCGATGCGCGTGACGACCTTGGCTTGCGCGCCCATGTTGTCGTCTAGCGTCGAGCGGCGCACGATGCGCGTGTCTGCCTTGGCTATTTAACCAAGATGGAGGCTGAGGCTGAGGCTGAGACTGAGACAAAAACCTGCTAAAAACCTCTGAAAAACTCTTCGTTGTCTGAGAGAGATACTCTGAAACACTCTGTTACCCAGAAAATGGCCTCTTCTTCCCGTGGTCTGCTCACGCTCTTTCCAGACCTCAACGAGTCCACAAGAGAGATAACTGGTGCGGTGGCCCTTGAACCCCAACCAAGCGCCCCAGGTTTTGCTCCGTTGAACTTTCCTATGCGGTCTGTGAAGCAAAAAATGGCAGTGCAAACAGATATTGAAGCCAATCAGTATACATTGAAGTCATGTGTGGAAACCATGACTGCGGTCACAAACTTGTCGCACCGGCTTCAGAGTAGGACAAATGAGGTGCAGCATTTAAACTCCCAGCTGGCTCTGCTCCAGCGCATGTATAAGGATGCACGAGCAGAGATAAGTGTGCTAAAGGCGGAAAATAAGGAGCTGAAGCGGAAGGCCACTGTTATGTTCCGATTTGGAGGTCCGCCATATGCTGTAGTGGAGGAGCAGGGGGGAGTGAACGTGCTCGGCGGTGTAGGAAACACGGAGGCAGCACCGGCAAGGGCTGCCCAGGCCATAGGCAAGAAGAAGAGACCGGCGGCAGAGTAGAGAAGAAAAATCCCGCCTGTGGATGTGGTGGTTGTGGTTTTGTTTTTTTTTTTTTTTTTTTGTGATGTAAAATTGTGATCGGGGTTGATCCCCGGCATGAAGAAATGACAAGTGTGTGGAATGTTTGTGGTGTGATATTGGTGTTGTTGTTTTGTAGAATAAGAAAAATGAAATAAAATAAAATAAAAATAGATAAAAGACAATATTTTTGGAAGAGTGATTTGAGAAAGATCGGTGTGAGGGTTTTGTTTTGTTTTGTTTTTTTTTTTTTTTTTGAAAAAAACATATATATATTCTATATACTGGGATGAATGATGGGTTGTATGAAAAGATGGGAACAACATGATAAGGGTGTATCTTAAAAGGATAAATAAAAGAAAGTGGAAGACAACATGATACGGGTGTGTATGGATGTGATAATGAGAGGGAAACAAACTTGGTGGGTGTGATTAAATAAATAAAAGAAGAATGGGTGTGTGTGTATGAAGCTCTGTGAGAGATAGAGAGAGAGGTTGAGAGGGAGAGAGAGCCGTGGGTCTCCTTGGTTTGATGCCACCATTGGAAGGAAACCTGAGCTTCTACAAGAAAACCATGGAGAACCCATTTGTAGAGACCTTCCTTGACCCACTTTGCAAGCTCAATCTCAAGGAGACATCTGAGTTTGTGAAGTCATTTCCAATGGCAAATCACATCACAGAGAGCAGAGGAGGAGGTTATCTTGATGTGTCAGCTCAGAGGAGGAGAGAAGGAGTGAGTTCAGTCACAAAAAGGAAAGCCGTGATCATGAGATCCTTTGACGATGGCCTCTCAATCGGATCTGGACCGGCAGATCGAGCACTTGATGGAGTGCAAGCCACTGCCGGAGGCGGAGATGAAGAAGCTCTGTGATCAAGCTCGAGCGATCCTAGCGGAGGAATGGAACGTTCAGCCGGTGAAGTGTCCGGTAACTGTGTGCGGCGATATTCATGGCCAGTTCCATGATCTTCTCGAGCTATATTCATGCCCAGTTCCATGATCTTCTCGAGCTCTTTCGCATTGGTGGCAGTTCTCCGGACACCAATTACCTTTTCATGGGAGATGATGTAGATCGAGGATACTACTTCCGAGTATCAATCTGTGAGACCAAGCACTGTATCGCCGGATATGGAGGAAGATTCGTCGGAATATTCGTCTAGGGTTCGAACATAGTCGACGGGAAATTGAAGGAGGAGCTGGAGGGGCTGTTGTGTCTGATCGGTGTATGGGACTAGGTTGTTCCCAGATTTGATGTCGGCGATGGTGGAGTCGCTAGGTTTCTCTACTCTGGTGTGAGCTTGGTGAGACAAGGACTACGACTCGAAGGAGTTGGGCGTGAAGGTGGTGGACTCGAAGAAATTTCAAGGGATGTGTAGAAAATTCTAGCGGACTAGGTTGAGGTCCGGCGGGCGGCTAAGGTGAGGTTGCCGCCCGCCGGGGAAGCGAAAATACTAGGTTCTAAACCTACTCTGATACCAAGTAAAAATTGATGTATAAAGAGAATTGTATAGAGAATTAATGTATTATTGTTG